AATGAAACACCATCCTAGGCTACCCTGAGAGTTTAAAGGTAGCCTACACAAAACCCTCTGCAAGACTTTTTCTCAAAAAACAAGCATGGGATGGCAACAGAGCTCAGATGATAGCTTGATAGCTTTTGCAATGCAAACATGAGGACCCGATTGTGGTCCACAACACCAACAGAAAAGCCGAACACAGCGCCAGGGTGCACACCAGTGTGAGGGATAGAGTCGGGGTGACCCCTAAGGTTTGTGTAGCCAAACAACCTAGCTGGGTTGGTGAGCTCCAGGTTCAGTGAGACCACGTCTCAAAAACCTAAGGTAAAAACCAAGCAAAGACAACACCCCATATCCACATGTGCACACACAGGAGCATGAGTGCACACACACACACACACACACACGTATACACACACACGTATACACACACACGTATACACACATACACACACAGGAGCACAGACAAACACAGATGCACACACAGGAACACAGACAAACACACATGCACACACACACAGGATAATGGGCACACACACATGCACACACATATAAAAACCTATAGGGTTTTAAAAAAGTGAACTGACAATCAAGTAAACAGAAAACCCAATAACTAGGAGGAAAAAAAAATCAGATCAAAGTGTTACAGAAGACAAGAAAAGCCATCAGCACTGCCAGAGTGGTTCAGGAGGAGGTGTACACAGATGGCAACAGGCTCTCAAGCACGGTATCTTGGGTCACCTTTAAGACAGTGTGAGCTCAGAAGCCAGACTTCAAGTAAGAGAATGAGTGAAAGAGTGACCTAGGAGAACATGCAAGGCCTGTGTACAACATTCCTCGCAAGGCTGGGGGACAGAGATGACAGTAAGTTGGTGGGGGTAAGAGTCAAACCAACAACTTTCCTTTTAAAGATGTGAAAAACTCAAATGAGAGAAATGCATGACATTTCAAAATTACTCCCTGAAATACATAAACCATATCTAAGTACAAGATGGCCATTCCTAACCCAAAATTTGAACTCTAAAATACTCCAATGTCACAATGAAAGCTCCACATTGACTTCCTGTGATAAGCCTTAGTCAAGCCAGCCAACGTTATTAAAAGTACTATACCCTCAGACTGCGTCGACTTAGTACATATACTATGTATGAAACAAGTACTATACCCTCAGACTGTGTCGACTTAGTACATATACTATGTATGAAACAAGTACTATACCCTCAGACTGTGTCGACTTAGTACATATACTATGTATGAAACAAGTACTATACCCTCAGACTGTGTCGACTTAGTACATATACTATGTATGAAACAAG